ATGAATTTATGTTAAAACTATGATTGTTAACAAGAAAACTAGTTCAATTAAATTATTGTTTATTTACAAACTTACTTTCTTTACCTAACATATCTCAATAATAATAATCAGATTTCATAAATTGAATCAACAAAAAAAATCAATAAATTTTCTATTTATTTGTTAAACAATTTTATAAAAGTTTAAACAATGTTTGGGAAGAGGCGGCCTGAGCACTTTGCAAACAGTTTCCAACAAATTTTCAGTTCCTTCGTCGTCCAAAGTTCTGTTGTAGTAATCATCGAACATCACCAGAGGAACAAACGTGACCTTCGGATCATTCCCATCAGTCCTATCACCGTATGCAGCCAACAGTTCTTCAGATTTAGCAATCATGCACCTCTTCAAACGATCGTAATTATAATTAACCGCCTTGCAACACTAAAAAATTAACAAAGACAAAAAATTGAAAAAAATAACTAAATCAATAATTAACTTACGCTTTTGATCTTCTCATCTTCGTATTTCGTCTGCACGAAACAATCCAACAACTCAACGATATCAACGTTATCCTTAAACTTGGACTGTTCCAAAGCGCAAGCATGGATTTTATTCCCGTAACACTCTTTATCACCGTGCTGGCAATTGAAAATCCAATGTCCGTCCTTCATTTCTCGCTGTAAAATTATATTTTATAAACAGAGAAAATCAATGTAATTCTCTCACCGTCGCCTTTCCATACGGCACCAAATCCAAATCGATGTATTTCGAGAGTTTCTTCGTGGTTGGGTACAGCTGCTCCGATAGGAATTTGATGCTGTAAGGACAATAGGTTTCGTAGAACAACGAGATCTTCACCTGCTGCACATCGTCGCAACGAATCACTTCGACGCTGAAAAGCAACAGCAAGACTACGCGCAGCAACATCCTTTAACACTGGCTGAAGCAATTGAAGTTCAAAGTCTTTATATACGGTTTTTATCTACAATTGTTTGTTGTTCTTACAAAGAAAGTTCTGTTATTGTTTCTATTTACAGTATTTCACAGATTGTACGCTTCCTATCACTGCTGGTGTCTAAGTGTTTTTGGAGTGGTCTACGATGCATCAGCAAAGTTCACTTATCGCACTTGATAACTAATAAATTATCGGACATTTCAATACTTGTAATTTTCCCATAAAATTGCTTTAATAAATAAACAATCAAAATTATAATTTAGTACTAAAAACATTGATATATTAGGATAATTACAACGTATTTGCTTATCGCAATTGATAATTTTATTTTTTCCGAAAGCAATTAAATCAGTGATTATCGTCGATAATTGTTACAATTAAAATGTGATTTTCCTTAAACCAATAATGATTAAAATGTTTATTATTTTCATAACAAATTAATAATTAATTATATTATGGAAGTTAAGCAACGTTTCATGAGTATAAGTATTTGGAAAGGTGATTTTAAATTTGTATCTCAGTGATTATCGTCGATAATTGTTACAATTAAAATGTGATTTTCCTTAAACCAATAATGATTAAAATGTTTATTATTTTCATAACAAATTAATAATTAATTATATTATGGAAGTTAAGCAACGTTTCATGAGTATAAGTATTTGGAAAGGTGATTTTAAATTTGTATCTCAGTGATTATCGTCGATAATTGTTACAATTAAAATGTGATTTTCCTTAAACCAATAATGATTAAAATGTTTATTATTTTCATAACAAATTAATAATTAATTATATTATGAAAGTTAAGCAACGTTTCATGAGTAAAGTATTTGGAAAGGTGATTTTATATTTGTATCTCAAGGCGTTAATTAAGTTTAAAAAAAAATATTTTATTGAAAAATTTCTTAGTTATTAATTTCAATGTATATAAAAAAAAGCGGTTGCATCCAAACAATTCGTAGAAGGGAAAAGTTAAATTGTTGAACAAAACGTTCGTATTGTAGTCCAATTGTAGTGTTTCGGAATGATGAGCTCACATCCACCAATAATACGCGCTACGTCCTCTGAGGACGGTGCATCCGCTCGGTTTTGTTTCCAGACGAGAGCAGACGGTTCCCAAGAAGTCCATCAAGGAGTTCTCCTGCACTGAACGATCGTAAACGTCGTCGAAAACTGTGGTAGGAACGAAGCTCAAGCGAGGCTGCAACATGTGAGTCCTCTGACCGTAACGCGCCAAGATCTGTTGACCGTTTGCAGAGCTCGCGCACGATTTAATAGCGTCCCAATTAAGACCGCTGTAATCGCTGCACTGAAGAACAATAAGAAACATCAAAATTGTAGAAAGAATCTTGCTTTTTACTCACCTGCTGCATGCTGGATTGCATCCGTTTCCCCATGACGCAATTGACGAATTTGAACGTTGGCCATTGCTGGTATCCCATGTTCAGAGCGCAAGCCTGGATGATGTTGCTGTAGCATTCCTGTCTTCCGTGCTGACATTGGAAGTACCAAACGCCGTTCACCAATTGTTGCTAATTTTACAAGAAAATTGGATCAATTCAATCGAACACAAACATAATCATAACTCACCGAAGCTTTACCGTAAGGAATCAAATCCAAATCCACGTACTCGCCAATTATCGCGTAAGCTGGTAACACTTGATTGTTGAGGAACGTTATGCTGTCCGAACACAGACCTTCGTAGTAAATGGAAACTTTCAGTTTACTTCCCTCCACCTAATAATTTCCTAGCAAAGGATTAAATAAAACTACAATTACAACCAAATCTCACGTTAATGGTAAAAGCTAACAGCAGCAACGAGAAGACGTAGATCTTCTGGGTGAACATCTTGGCTTGACTGATTCAAATGAGCTCTGAATTCGCTTCAATGTAATGAATGTGACAAAGAGGGAGGTGGTATCACAAAGAGCGCAATTATCGGTAATCTACAGTTGTCACAAGAACCTCTTTATCTCTGCAGCTGATTGTGCAGTCTCTTCGGTTTTAAACGCTTCTTCATTCGCAAACTTTTCATCGTTATCTCTTCTCCAAACAAAGGTGTGGTGACGATAATCAAGAAGTGTATAGAATTTTGTAATTGTTAAATTGTCTTGATCGTGATTAGTTTAATTGGAGCATCAATTGGATGTGTCCCTGAAGATGTGGGTCAAAGGCACACTGATGTTAGTAAATATAGTGCGTAACGTGTAGATTATTTGCAGTTATCAATACACAATAAAAAGTGAAGATTCCAAATAGAAATGCATGAAAATTGAAGAATCTACATCATATTTAACATTTGCTACAAAATCGAAAACTATAGGAAATTCATGTGATTAAGAAAACTATGAGAATTGGTAAAGATTCTGTAAGCTTCTAAAAAAGTATTTGCAAATGAAGAAGGAAAGTATTGAAGAGTCAAGTATCAAATTTGGATGAAACTTTGTTCTCTCATTCAATTATAGACGTTAATTTACATTCTCAAAGAAGCTGCAAGCAATTGCTTTGTGTTTCAAGAATTGGATGGAATGGATGAATAATTTATATTTGAATTGATGCATAGTTCTTCGATGTTATGTAAGAGGTCGCAATGGATCAAAGATGTACTGGAGAGGTAAATGTTATTGATTTTTGGAGCGACTGGTTGCATAAGAGATGTAAACAAATCTTGGGGCGTTCACTACAGTGCGCACATATTCATCACGATGGATAGTTAGCAATTCCAATTAGAACTTTAATTAGCGTGATGTCATGACGACAGTGAATTTTGAAATGGAACAGTGACGTTTTTTTTTGTGTACCTGAAAAATTCCAGTGTCTGTAATATCGAAACAATGTTCCTGATCATCTCAGTCCTAATGCAAACTTGCCTAAACTTTGTAATCTTCTCCTACGGCCTCTGGTATTTCCTTATAGATGTCCTCTACCTATTCCTACCATTTGGCCTCATACCAACAGCAATAATCTTCGTCACATTAGTTATCTTTAAAGTCCCGAAACCATCGAATTCCCAACTTGAGAGGATAGTCGGCAGGGAACTGTACCTTGAGAACGGTGCAGATGATAGACCAGCAATGAGGACTGTGGGGCATCGAGGGGCTGGCCTGGATGCACCCGAGAACAGCCTTGCAGCTTTCAAAATAGTAATTAAACATTCACATATGAAATTCGATGAAATCAATCAACTACTTTAATTTGCAGTGCGAAGAGAAGAACTGCTCATACGTTGAGTTCGACATTACATTAACTAAAGATTTGGTGCCTGTGGTCTTTCATGATACCACTTTGGAGAGGACGGCCAATGTCAAACTTAAAGTCAAAGACATCACTTATGCAGAACTCATGGAAATTGACATAGCGATGAATCATCCTTTCAAGTAAATAATAGTTAATCGTAAACTAATTAATTAATGTTTATTTTTTTAGAGAAAAGTTCAGGAACACGAAAGTGCCAACTCTTGAGGAAACTGTGGTGCTTCTACTGAATTCCAAGCTGAACATGTTCATTGATTTGAAATATCACGATTACAGGGTAATATAAATTAATTTGCAAATATACTAAACTCATGGGAATTTAGAATTTTTTTCAGATAGTTAAAGTGGTGAATGATTTATTCGTTAAATATCCAGAGCTTCACCACAGGGCTGTCGTATCCTCATTTTATCCTTCGCTCATCTATTTGGTAATCAATTAATATACGAATTGTGAAAAACGAAAAGTTAAAACGTTGAAACTTTCAGATAAGACGAAACAATCCTAAAATCGTTTGCTCCATTGCTTATAGGCCGTACTTCTTCAGCTATTCGGGATACATGTTTCCAGAGGGTCTGGGTCGTAGACGCGCCAGGTTTTTACCTAAACACTTGGTCAATTTAATGGTGGACAAACTGCACTCGTGGCTTCTACCCAAAGTCACCTACTACGTAACCGGCATATCGTTGATCCTGTTGCACAAGGATTTCATGAGCGCGTAAAATATACATGAAAATTACTGAAAAAAACATACCGAAATTCAATATTAATTAATTTAGGGATGTCGTCATGAATTGGAGGAGGAAAGGGGTCAGAGTTTGCGCCTGGACTGTAAACCATCCAGCCGAGAAACAGTATTGCAGCAAGATCCTGAAGATCGCCTACTTCACGGATACGCTCGTCGGGGAAGGAACGGCTCACGCAAACTAAGTGTAGCAAGCAAGCAGCATAGGAAACGCAAGCACGAATCTCTTTTGCCAGCAACTTCTCCACTTACTTATTTATTACGTATTGTTTGTTTTCCTTCGATTTTGGTGTGCGTGTGCCATTCATTCATTATTTTCGCCGACCACTTTCTTGGATGCAATCAACTCCAGTACAAATCTATATTTAACTTATATTTATACACATTGTATTTGTATACACTTTCTTACTTTGTGACATGTGATTATCTCTTATAGCAATTAGAATGAAGTTTTAATAAATGCAAATTTGGAAACTTGAGACTTTCAACTTTTATTTGTGTATAAAAACAGAAGTTGCAATAAAATCTTAATAAAGATTATTAGTTTTCGAGTTATTAACGTTATTAATTTTATCAAATTGCGATTGAAAAAGAAATCCAATTGGACAAAATTTTCGAAAAATCTCCAGAAAGAGACCAAAAGTATTTTATATAACTATCAATCTATATTTTCACTTATATTAATCTCTGTATATTGTAGATCAAGATTCATGTTCAACATTCTTCTAGAAGCAAGTGTTTTCGAAAATACAGGCCATTTTCGAAAACGTTGTTTTCCAAAGTATCTAATACCAAAGTTTGATAATTAATTGTGATGAAGCTAAGGTAGCTACAAGCTTGTATTTACACTCATTTTAATCTCTGCATATTTAAGAACAACACTAAAGTTGAAAATTCTTGTGGGAGTTGGTGTATGCAATAATACAGGCCATTTTTGAAAACATTGTTTTCCAAACTATCTAATACCAAAGTATGATAATTAATTGTGATGAAGCTAAAGTAGTTACAAGCTTGTATTTACATTCATTTTAATCTTTGCATATTTAAGAACAACATTAATGTTCAAAATTCTTGTGGGAGTTGGTGTATACGAAAATACAGGCCATTTTCGAAAACGTTGTTTTCCAAACTATCTAATACCAAAGTTTGATAATTAATTGTGATGAAGCTAAAGTAGCTACAAGCTTGTATTTAAACTTATTTTAATCTTTGCATATTTAAGAACAACATAAATGTTCAAAAATCTTCTGGGAGTTGGTGTATGCAATAATACAGGCCATTTTCAAAAACGTTGTTTTCCAAACTATCTAATAGCAAAGTTTGATAATTGATTGTGACGAACCAATGGTAGCTACAAATCTATATTTACACTCGTTTTAATCTCTGCATATTTAAGAACAACATTAATATTCAAAATTCTACTGGGAGTTGCTGTATACGAAAACACAGGCAATTTTCGAAGACGTTATTTTCCCAACTCATTTGTGAAATACCAAAAGTTTGTTAATTAATTATGAAGACACCATTGCAGCTACAAATTAATATTAGCGCTTATTTTAATCCGTGTACATTAAAGATCAACATCCATGTACAACATTCTTCTGGGAGCTAATGTTTACGAAAATACAAGCTATTATAAAAGACGTTGTTTTCCTAATTTTTAAGCAAAGTTTATATGGTTGTTTGGTTGTCTACACTTTAGGCGCAAAATGAATATTCTAATTTTTGCGACAGCTAGTGCCATCTATCATCAATATGGCAAAGGTTATAGTTCGGGCATTTTGGCGCTGCATGAAATCCATTTTCTTGAAAACGTTCTAATTTTATTAAACAAACGTGTCAGAACGATACTGATGTTATTACTTTATTATATTAATTTTAATGCTAATTACTTTTTGTGTTTACTGCGTTTTAATTTTCACTAGCAGTCTGCAACCAAACATACATATAAACTTTGATGAACAAGTAGGAAAACAAAGCTTCAGATAATGGCTTACATTTTCGTAAAACTGAGCTCCCAGTAGAATTTTATACATGGATGTTGATCTTGAAAATACACGGATTAAAATGAGCGAAAATATTAATTTGTAACTCTAATGGTGTCTTCATAATTGATTAACAAACTTTGGTATCTCACAAATGAGTTGGGAAAATAACGTCTTCGAAAATGGCCTGTGATTTCGTATACACCAACTCCCAGAAGAATTTTGAAGATTAATGTTGTTCTTAAATATGCAGAGATTAAAATGAGTGTAAATACAAGCTTGTAGCTACCTTAGCTTCATCACAATTAATTATCAAACTTTAGTATTAGATAGTTTGGGAAACAACGTTTTAGAAAATGGCCTGTATTTTCGTAAGCACTTGCTTCTAGAAGAATGTTGAACATGAATGTTGATCTACAATGTACAGAGATTAAAATAAGTGAAAATATAGATTGATAGTTATATATTCAGAACAATGTAGAATAAACAGGAAATCCAATACAGACTTTTAAATTTAATTCGCGCTCAACAAACGTAAATTTCAAATTTCAACCAATCAGAAACGACCGATGCTAGGAGCTCAGATACCTCCTCGCTACTCCTGTTCTCCTGGTGCAAATCGAAATTTTCTGGCATTTTCGAGAATCAAGGGAGGGGGCGATTTGCGTTTTGATTCGCGAAAACCGCCAACTCATTAAAGCTTAATAACTTTCTTATTAATTGACCAAAACTAACATATTTTATATAAAACGAAAGCTAAAGAACTATTCTTTAAAACAGTAAATTAAAATTTTCTAATATACATAAATATAACCATTTATTTTACTACTTTTTTCAATTAGCTGCAACACCTTCACGTTTTTTTAAATCAATCGATTACCACTCGTGATAATTAAACAATCAAATACACAAATTAAAGACAAAACTACAACCTTTCCAATGAGCTAACTACCGGCATTGTGCTTTAGTCAGTACATGTACTATAAGTTATCAAAATCAAGCGTTTGACGAAACAATTTACTCAAATTTTACAATTTCTCGGTTTACGTAATCTTTTCATACATAATATGTTGCGTAAGGGTACCGCCCTTCTTACGCAACAATAAAAAAAGATACAAATAAAGGTTTAATAACACTGATTTAGAAGTTGCAGAATCTACTGGAAACGGTAAAAACTAAAAAAAGAAATGAGTAAAACACACAGGTTTATTTTTTTTTTCAATTATATAATTTTTATTCATAATAATTTCAGAGAGCAATCAGCGATATCATATGCAATACAATGTTATTTATTTATTTAATTTTTTTTTAAATTAATTTTCGTATTTTTTTTTTATACATTATTCATTCACTTTATTCTTTTTTTTGGGTGGTGGACAGGCGAACATCCCGATCTGCTAAGAGCCGTACAAACTATTTATTTACCTTTTACTTTTCTTCGTCTTAGTTAATTCATAAGTTTATATAATATATATATTTACACGTGTGACAACATCACGCAGCTATTACAAATTTATTACAAAACAAAAACAAAATATATATAAAAAAAATAAGACAAAGTAGGCATAACAAATGAATGAATACAGACGGACAGAGAAAAGTAAAGACGAACGAAATAAGTACAAATGATTCTTAAACCCTAAATCATAATAGAAATAAACACATCAGTTACAGTTAAATAATATTACATAATAATCAATAAACAAATTAAACTTAAATATTAGTATGTATACAATATAAAATGTACTTCATAGAAGTTGTTGCCTTTCTCTCTCTCTATATATATATATTTATATAAAAAAAAGAATCGTTTGCTTCGGTTTAGTGGAAAAATTGTTACGGTTATTAGGAAAAGTCTACAAGAAAAAAAAAACCTTTTTTTTTTGTCGCTCTTACACAATATATATATATATAATTTATATTATCATCATCATTATTTTTTCTTCTTTAAATTCGTAACAAGAATACTTATCTACAATTTTCTTCAATCATCATCATAATCATCGTATTGGCAGTCAAGCGATCGATACCCAAATAATATAAGTAATAGTTAAGAAACAAACTTAATGCACGATGAAAGAGGAACGGATAATAATAGTATTAGTAGTAGTAGTAATAGTAATAAAGATCTTTCATTCATAAATTTAAAAAGTACTTATTGCGATATGAAGATATGTATTTCACTATTTAATCTTTGTTTTTTTCTCTTCTATTATTAAATGTTTAAATTTGCAGTTTCGCTTAATTATTAATTAATTAATTAATTAATTACAGGAATCTGTAATCAGTTGTTGTTGTTTGTTAAATTCGGTTGAAAATAGAAGCTTAGCTAACAAAAAAACAAAAAAATGTGAGTGAGTGTTTCGTGTTCTTTTCCTCTCAAGTTTCTTATAATTTGTTTGGAAATTATTTCTCTTTCTCTCTACGGAATTATAAATTACGTGTATGTATTTTATTTCGTTTTATATAAATAACTATACATAGGTATTTACATGATTATTATTATTATTATTTTAAATTTTATTTATTTTCTGAAACAAATCTAAACCTTTACTTTTCTTTTTCGTTTAACAATTTATTTTTTTCTCTTGCATACGTTTTTCTATCTCTCGGCGCAAATCCTAAAGGGATTAAAACCTCGAATATATATATATTTGTTTATTATATTTGTGTTTAAGTGTTTTGTGTGAAATTGTGTGTTTGTTGTTGTTGTTGTTTGTGTCGTGTAATGAAGATGATTGTCTTTTAAGATCTAAAGTAAACAGTGTGATTTAGTATAAAGTTAAATACACGCAAAAGTTGGGATGAATGAAAGGAAAGTGCAATTCTTTACTCGGAAAGGAACCAAACGAATTTTGGCAACAATTTATATATATATTTAAATAAAAAATAATGTATTTGGAGGAAGGATCAAAGATCCTTCCTCTCGTTCCAAAACCGAGACGAAATTTGCAATTTCCTTTTTTAAAAAAAAAATCCCAGCAAATTATAAAAATGAACGAACAATGCAGATGGATTTTCTTAACCGAAAAGTGAATAAATTTTAATTATTATAATAACTATGTACAAACTACTTTTTATTAGTTATTAGGTGAAAGAGGGACCAAGACATAGTTTTCTTTTAATTTAATCTTTTGCAAGCGGAAAAGTATTGCTTTTTCATACGCGTTCATTACATTTATTAACCAATGTAATCACTAATCATAGTTTACAAAAAGAAAAATTTAAAAATCGTAAGAATATTATTATTAATAATAATAAGAATCACTTTGGTCCAAAGTTCCTATTAATATTATTTTTTTTTTGTTTATTTACTTAAAATCTAATTTTACTTTATAATTTCTTCTTCTTCTTCATCGTTATTCAATTGTTTTTTTTTTTACAGAAAACTTGATTGTTTCTTTGCACCGACACGTCTGCAATTTGTAAAATAATAAAATACGCTTCTTCTTTATTTACTTATTTCATTTTTTCTTCTATCATCTCTTAGTCAATCTTCACTTAACATTTTCGCTTCTCCTTCACTTCTTCTTTACACATGCATATCACAGACCTACAATATTTTTTTAAATTTTATTTCGCTTTTTTTTTAAATAATAAACATGAAACATTTCTCTTCTCTGTGTGTAGTTTAATCGTATTAATTGTTAATCCCTATAGGTTAAACAAAGTTAAAGTTTAAAATTATTATTTGTGTTTTTAATTAAATTTAAAAGTTAAAGGAAATAAATAAAATGCGTGAGTGAGTAAAACTAATCGGTTATTAGAATATTGGAGGATGTCTCTTCTTTCAATGAAATCATTAATTAAACTAAGTCAGTCACTTCAATTTTAATTTTTGTTTTGTTTTCACTGTGTCTCTAACTTTAGTTGCGCGATTAATTATTTTCAAGGTAATAATTAAATTGGGGAGGGAAATTCGTTTGAATTTAAGAAATTATTGGATGAAACTAGTTCATTTTGTTGTTGTTGTTGTTTGTTGTTGTTGTTGAGGGCACTCGTAATATTTACACGAAGAGCACACGAGTCCAATACAGAGGTATTCCCAAGAAGGTTAATGCCAATGGACCATGCTGCATCAGCTATCAGACGAAGGGATGCATTATCTCATTCGGGTGGCTATTCTGGTTGCTGTCGTTGTGTCGCGATGCGCATTGCTGAAGAAGTTAAGGAAACAGTTAAGATTTTCAACTATAAACGTATTGCTGTTGTTGTTACTCACTGCTTGCTTCCTCTCCCAAGTCTTCATCGCGGATTTGTACTTCTCGAACTCGTGACACCAGTCCGAGTAGATCTTCTGGTAGTCGTTGCTCTTCGCCGGCGGTGAACATCTGTGCGCGTCGACGGTGACGTTGTATGAGCACAGAAGCGATGCTCCCATCATGCAATCGTACCGACCAGCGTCCGCTTCCGTCACTGCAATGATCACCAGTCCGTGCTCTGAGGTTTCGATGTATTTGTCCGGTCTGGAAATAAGAAAAATTAAGAAAACATTCACAACTTTGTAGCAGAAGTTTAGTTACCTGAAGACGATCTTGTACGGTCCCTTCTCCTTGGAATAGTGGTACCAGGTGATGGTTTGCGAGGCGAGGACTGCGGGCATCTTCAAGAAGCAGCCCAAATGAAGACTTTGGCCCCAAGTCACTACCATCTTCTTCTTGACGACGCTGCTGTCGCACACGTCTATCGTGCTGTTGGAAACATCTTGAAGAAGTCTGAAGAAGAAATATACATTCACTTACACATCTTCTAATCATTAGAAATTCGTTTACTTTTCATACAAAAGTGAGATCAATAAAATTAAAATTTCTTAAATTCCGCTAGATTTACAGTACATTTTCATATACATTTTCAAACTCTAATAGACATTTTATTGATTGTACTAGTATTTGATTCAATTGGAATTTTCTCATCTAATCTTGATAATTTAACTTACAAATTATATTTTTTTTTTGAATAAGGAATGTATGTTTTCTTACCCAGGTGAGTACGGTTTGCAGACGTTGGAGTCTTTGTCCCATCCGCAGTAAGGATCGTGGACGCACCTAAGGCAATTATCGTAACGGCGATTGCACATCACCAGATCGATCTGTTTGACGCGATGGTCGGAGGCGACGTACAGGGCTTTGTGCACTTTGGAAATTTCCATCACTTGGATCGCTTCGCCGGGCGTGACATCGAACACGTCCAGAAGGATAGAGTTCGATTCCTCGTTCTTGTTAGCCCACTGAACGATCTTGTGTACACGACCATCACCTGAAACAACAACAACAACAACAATTATAGATTGTTTAATATTGATTCTTCACCTACAATCCTTCTTTATATCTATGATTGTAACAAATACTGATACAGTATTGGAAAGCCCAAACATTTAGCTTGTAGTTATTGAGATGATTTGTGGTAATTTGACTTACTCGTTCCTGCGTAGTAAACAGTGTAATCGAGGACGGCGCCGCCGATGTCCACTTTGATCTTGTCCACCACGAGTCTCGTAAAGAACAGATCTCTCTTGAAGAAGACGGGTTTCTCGTTCTCGTGCATCACAGCGGAATCCATGAGGGGATGAGATCTGATGAAGTTGAGGACGGTGTCGGGAAGGGTTTCGGTATCGTTGACGCAAGTTCCCGGACGCGGTTCTGGTACACGATTCGAAAGAACTGGAAGCCACGCCGAAGAGGACGTAGCTTGCTCCTTGAACTTCCCGTTGAACGCGACTTGGATATCCTCTAACTTGAAGGAGCAGATGGCTGAACCCATGAGGCCGTTCGTGGACGTGGTGAAGGTGCCGTAGAATTTGTTGTCGTCTCCTGGTACTTTGTAGATGGATTCTGGAATCGATGATGATGATGTTGAATGAATGAAAGTTATATTTGGTTTGTAAATAAACACTTACGGATTTCGTTGAAGTAGAAGGGAAACTCGCCGGGGATGGAGCAGTTGAGACGGGCCTTCAGGTAGGTGGCCCAGTTTTGCGCGAGGATGTTCTTACCGCCGGTATCCTTCTTGCAGACGCGCGCCACTCTCGAGTAAACGCTTTTGCCGCAGTTGATGTACTCGACTGCGGTCTCTCTGAAGAAGAAAAACACGTACTCTCCGATCTCGAAGGAACCCACGAAGTTCGGTTCTGTAATAGACACAAAAAAAAAGCAAAATGTAGTAATCTGCACGTTTTTTTTTGGGGGAAAAAATCCTGTAAATCCAATTACCTGTAATCTGCGTTTATTACCGTGGGGTTGAATAATTAAATCACGGAAGGGATTCGAAGTGGAGGGACGAGGATCAGGAATATATATATAGATATATAGATAGATATAGTGCATAGGGTACGTAACGTGTCCATGGGAACCCTCAGGTGGAGACCGTAATGGGTAACAGGATATTCAAAGGTGTTTCCGCTCGTTGGTCCTTGCAAATCTAACCCCCGCCGCATGCGTGATTACAATTACCAACTCGAGCATTTTGCCGACCACTACAACTTGTCCAAAATCCAACCCTCCTCACAAATACTAAACTATCATCGATTTTCCACCCTTTCCTTTTTTTTTGCGCCCCATCCCTCCTCGCATCGCTTATTAAATAATCAAGCACCTCAATAAAACTAAAGCACCGCACGTTTTATGCACTTCGACATGGAATTCGGGTATTTCATCCAGAATTTCTCCTTTTTTTTTTGCTCATCTCATCTAAACTTCTTTTACGGCTGTACGTGTCGCCCTAACCTACTAATTGCCATCAAGAACCCCAACGAAATTAATACACCGAACAGATGACGCACAGCCTACTTTTTTTTGCTTCCTTCAAGAAAGAAGTAACCGAAACATCATTTACATAGATATTATGCAACCTTCAGCAAGAGGGGTGTCATCTAAACTTCATAGAAGTTTTTTTTTCTTATTATTAGTATAACGTGAAACGATACAAACTTTGTAAAAATGTAAATTTTCATTACAAGAAAAAACCGGATTTTCTTTAAAAAATTAACAAAATTTATTATAATTTATATTTAAACAATCATTAAGATTAATCTAACTACAAAAATATATCAATTTACATACAAATTTAAGCAAATCTACAAAAATTAGTTCATAATAATATTTTTTTTTGCGTAATTATTTAATTTCTTCAAAGTTGATTTTAAATCTTGGATTATTTTAGCAGAATTTTCAAACACTTTGAACACATTTTTGTTCTTTCTTCGCTAATAAGCGATAAATTTTCATTACAAGAAAAAACCGGATTTTCTTTAAAAATTTAACAAAATTTCTTATAA